ATAGGGCTTTTGTTTGATGTTTAAAGTGTCGACATGTAACTGGTGATCCTAAGACGTGAGTTAGACCTTGGTGTTCTTCACCACCTGTCTTGACAACTTAGATACACATATGGAAACATCATAAACATGTCTGTTGCATTGGTGAACAAAAACTGTAGGATTATGTGTGATGACCACGGTTCCTAACATACAGTCACTCCCACAGCAACGACAATATATTTTTTTAATTATATATAAGCACGGATTATAGAGGATAATATGTTGCTAAAGTGAGTACATAATGTTTCATTTCATCAATAACTAGTTAAATGGAACTATGAAAATTCAAATTCAACAAGCCAAGCAGTTCCTCTATATATTGTTTACATAATACAGCAAGAGTATACCTAAAATAGGTTAGATTAGGTTAGGTTAAGTTTTGTGTGAAACTTTTCAGTTATATGCATATTTATGATCTACAATATCAAATCAAAGACAAAAGTCGTGTCGCGGTTTTGACCGAAAATTAAATATAACTCGTGAAACATCATGAGAGCCCTACCACAAAGCAGAGCGCACCAAAACTTTTAGCCCCTCGGCATAATTATGTTTTCACCAAATTTCACGACACGACTTTTGTCTTTCATTGTACACCATAAAAATACGCCATTTAGATTCTACATTATCGTTTGTGGCCAGTCAGAAGTTACATCAAAAAGCAAAATACATAGAAGTTAATGCTAATCAGCTAATCAGCAATTATTCCGATTTAGCATAACACACACACTCATATATACCTGTATATATATATATATATAAATATATATATATATATATATATATATATATATATATATATATATATATATATATATATATATATATAGATAGATAGATAGATAGATAGATAGATAGCTAAAATCACAGGAAAAAGGTTAACAAAGGGGCACCTTAGCTTTCGTCTTCCTTCAAGATATCTTCAGATGTCCATTGTTTCCCCTTTTCCTGTGATTTTATCAATATATATATATATATCAATATATATATATATATATATATATATATATATATATATATATATATAGTATATATATATATATATATATATATATATATATATATATATATATATATATATATATATATATATATATATATATATATATATATATATATATATATATATATATATATATATATATATATATATATATATGTAATATTCAGAAATTTCAAATGCCCCGCCATTAGCGATACTGAGCGTTCAAGGTCGTCTGAGGGAAGAGAGCGCTCCCTGCACATAGCGAGAGGTTGTGGAACTAGGCCTAAGTGATATTAAATGTAATTTGCCGAATTAATAATGATGCGATTCATGAAGTTAAGGGACTATTATTGAATTTGAAATTATTATAGATCGTTTATCAGTCTGAATAATGTTACGGGTGTCCCAAGGAGTTATTAGTTAGGCGGAAAATATGTCACGTAGGCCTAAGCTAACGCCTTGAGAGGAGACGCGACGCTGGCTGGTCCTCAGTCACGGGGAGCATTCAGACAAACAAGACGTCCCTGCGCGTCCGTCACAGAAATAGTCACGTGGCCTAGTCACCTGTGCTGCGCTATTGCAGTATAACAAGTAAGTCTCATTCGATCTCAGACAGGGTTAGATAGGGCAGTGGTAAAGTAAACTAGAGCTAACAGTGAGTTCATTTCAGGGTTTCCGTCAGAACCCACTTGACCGGAGTTGACCGGAGTTTGACTGCGAGAGATTGACTGCCGTTTGAGACTGCCGTTGATGATTGAGGGTGGCGATTGTCGCCATTGGACCGATCAGTGTAGGCCTGTCACTGTTTAGCGGGGTATCAAAGGATCTCTTGAGGGAATCTAGCCGTCTGGGTGCCCAGCTGACGACGGGACGATCGTTGGGGTCATCAGCTCTCCTCTACCTCGGCTCACAACACCACATGTCTCGAGCAGCTTAGTGAAACCCTCTTGCTAACAGGAAGCTAAAGCTTCTCTCAACTGTACAAGGTCTGATTGGCTCACACCCTTCCGTTTCATGGATGTACTGGGGGTAAAGTGAGGCCAGCTGAGTGATACAGGGCTGCACACTGGGGCCAAGAGTCAGTGGAGTTAGAGGTACACTTTCCAAGGTGGAGAAAGGCTGATTTGGGCCTTCAACTACGGGTGCCTGTTGGTTGTGCCTTAAACGACTACGGAGTGCAGGTGTAATCTGTGTGTGTGTTAAGTTAGGGAGCATGGTTCACGGGTATTGGACTCAGTAACGTCTTTATAATTGTGACAATAATTTTGTGTGTAGTTAATACTATTTTTTCAGTTACTAATGTATGCTGTGTGCATTTAAAATTTCTTTATAGTTTCAATCTCTGATATAACCTTAAACCTCAAGTGCTTCTGCTGAAATTGCTGGCAACAGGCTGGCGCTTGGCGTTCATTCGTAGAGGCTTTTGTCTTCTTATTTTAACAACATTTCAGTGACTTGATACGCCTTAGCCGAAAAAACTCCTTATGCTCCGCATCTGCCGCGTAACATAATTTATGCGCTGATCGCCCAGCTCATTGCGGAATTACAATTTCATTTTACACGCGGTGATTTGTGCCCCAGCAAAGGATTATTTTACTTTAAAGCGCCTGAAAGTTTTCACGGGTTTCATACCGGGCGGCGGGTCTTTACTCTTCGCAGTAAGTGAAGATGGGCATAAGGGTGTACTGGCTGGCGCTATCGCAGCTGTTGAGTAATATGCGTAAATATTACAGTGTGTTCATTACAGACGCCGGAAATACGAATGTCGGTTTTTGTTGGGTAATTTGCGTTTGTAGCGGTTCGATTTCTTTATATGCTTCACTGTTATCTGTCATTTTAATAAATTAAAAGTTCAGCAAATTCTAATCGTTACATATATATATATATATATATATATATATATATAGTATATATATATATATATATATATATATATATATATATATATATATATATATATAAATATATATATATATAAATATATATATATATATATATATATATATATATATATATATATATATATATATATATATATATATATATATATATATATATATATATATATATATATATATATATATATATGTAACCGGTCGGAATTTACTGGACTTTATTTTCTCACTTGACTTGGGGTTTATTAAAGATTATTAGATGGTAATGGCAGTGGAAGCGCCCCTTAGTGAGAAATCCCGAACCAGCACAAGAGCACTTAAATTTACTAACAAAATGACTTGTCCGTGACCCGTGGAAGGATAGCGTCTGTGACTGGGATGAATGAGACACACTGTAATATTTACACTTATATTCCCTCCAACACTACAAACACAATCAAATAATGGTACACCAATATGCCCATCTTAAAACACTACTCTGGGGAATAAAAGTTATACATGATATTGAAATTATTAGAAACTCAGGCAACAATAAATTTAAAGTATTAAGAAATGTCGCTTGCACACATGAAACAGGCCTTAAGGGTTTTCACAGAATAATATCCACCACTGCGGAAGTGGTATAAAAATAAGAAATTAATAATTCCACCATGAATAGGCCTAAAGGGCAATCAATATAATTATGTTACACCAACAGATGCAGACCTTAAGGGTTTTCAACAAAATAATATCAGTCACTGAGGAAATGGTATTAAAAAATAAGAAGATAAATACTCTACAATGAATAGGCCTTAAGGGCACTCAATATAATTATGTTACACCAACAGATGCACACCTCCTAAAAAAAACTTAAACACTACTCTGGGGAACAAAGGTTATATCAGAGATTGAAACTATAAAGAAATTTTAAATGCACACAGCATACATTAGTAACTGAAAAAATAGTATTAACTACACACAAAATTATTGTCACAATTATAAAGACGTTACTGAGTCCAATACCCGTGAACCATGCTCCCTAACTTAACACACACACAGATTACACCTGCACTCCGTAGTCGTTTAAGGCACAACCAACAGGCACCCGTAGTTGAAGGCCCAAATCAGCCTTTCTCCACCTTGGAAAGTGTACCTCTAACTCCACTGACTCTTGGCCCCAGTGTGCAGCCCTGTATCACTCAGCTGGCCTCACTTTACCCCCAGTACATCCATGAAACGGAAGGGTGTGAGCCAATCAGACCTTGTACAGTTGAGAGAAGCTTTAGCTTCCTGTTAGCAAGAGGGTTTCACTAAGCTGCTCGAGACATGTGGTGTTGTGAGCCGAGGTAGAGGAGAGCTGATGACCCCAACGATCGTCCCGTCGTCAGCTGGGCACCCAGACGGCTAGATTCCCTCAAGAGATCCTTTGATACCCCGCTAAACAGTGACAGGCCTACACTGATCGGTCCAATGGCGACAATCGCCACCCTCAATCATTAACGGCAATCTCTCGCAGTCAACTCCGGTCAACTCCGGTCAAGTGGGTTCTGACGGAAACCCTGAAATGAACTCACTGTTAGCTCTAGTTTACTTTACCACTGCCCTATCTAACCCTGTCTGAGATCGAATGAGACTTACTTGTTATACTGCAATAGCGCAGCACAGGTGACTAGGCCACGTGACTATTTCTGTGACGGACGCGCAGGGACGTCTTGTTTGTCTGAATGCTCCCCGTGACTGAGGACCAGCCAGCGTCGCGTCTCCTCTCAAGGCGTTAGCTTAGGCCTACGTGACATATTTTCCGCCTAACTAATAACTCCTTGGGACACCCGTAACATTATTCAGACTGATAAACGATCTATAATAATTTCAAATTCAATAATAGTCCCTTAACTTCATGAATCGCATCATTATTAATTCGGCAAATTACATTTAATATCACTTAGGCCTAGTTCCACAACCTCTCGCTATGTGCAGGGAGCGCTCTCTTCCCTCCGACGACCTTGAAAGCTCAGTATTGCCAATTGCGCGGTGTTTGAAATTACTCTGAAATTTCTGAATATTACAATCGACCCCCCCTAAAAAAAGACAGCACTGTCCTCATGTGCTGAGAAAAACATGCATACGACCCCCCTAAAAAATTGTTCTAAGAAACTGCATCTCACCCCTTTAACATGCTAAACTCAGCATTCCCGTCTTCTCCACTTCTCTCTCCCGCTAACATATATATGAAGATTACAAATCACTTCGAGCAGTAGTTGTTTCTGGGTGAAGGAGCAAGTTCTGCTTTGTTGGCAGCGACTCCCAAAAAGCACGCACCTGTTAAAGAGAAACACTGTAATAAGTCTGTCTGCCAAAAAATATAAATAAATAAATAAATAAATAAATAAAGCGTACTATTAATCTTGAACAATGTGGTAATAGTGAGTCTTAGCTCAGATCTCAGCCAGGTGACATAGACAATTTATGTACAGTATATATATATAATATATATATATATATATATATATATATATATATATATATATATATATATATATATATATATATATATATATATATATATATATATATATATATATATATATATATATATATATACACGCAGACTCTACATACAAACAACACTCACTAACAGATCAGAATCCTGGTAGGGATGCTCTAACGTCTGACCTAAGTCTGCTGCGATAGCTCACTAACTCCAAATCTTAAGCAAGGCAAAGTGGTAAATTTGTTCGGTGATGATGAAAAAACAAACTTACGTTTGTCTTAGCTTAGGGATCACGTGCCTAAGACTAATTTGCTCAGTCAGCTGATATCCGTCAACCAATCAGAGTGAACTTTACAAATATTTCAGCCAATCGCAGGACGGATACTGATGTAAACACCAAACGCAAATGGAAGACGAAAGCATCATGCGACATTCAACACTACAGCCGCACATTAGCAACATTGAAGTCACAAAATAGGAAACCAAGGCTCCCGATTTCAACACCAGTGAGCTTTATTCGCTGGCAACTGAAGCATGCAAAAGGAAACACATGATACATGGAATGTTGACAAAATCAACACGAAAAAATGCATAAAATGCGTGAGATATGATTACCACCACTGTCACCAATGTGGTCGGGATCTTAGGTCAACAATCACACAGAAGGAAGCAAGGAGGAGACAAGTAATGAAACAAACAGGTAAGATTACTGTGTTTCATATATTTTGGTTGTTTATCTAATACATTTCATGTAATAGTGGCTGCTAGGGTTAATATTCGTTTTAATCCCAATAGGTATTTCGGATCTTTTGCCATTATCGCTAGGATTCTTTTGTGGGTTAGGTTAGGTTAATTAAAAATCACAGAAATACACTAGAAATATGTTATCTCATACCATTTGAGGATATTGGGATAAAATCGAATTTTTACTGACAATGTGATGTAGTCGCGGCCAGAATTAGGCTAGGATACAGACACATCTGGCAAGTTAGTAACGCTGTACCCATACCGGAACACTCAGCATGTAAACTTTGTGATAAACCTTTAAAGCATACATTTGAACACTATATTATTGAATGTGACACTGTCAAAGACTTCAGGCCACCTGGCTTATTGTATCATGAACTTTGTAATTACTATATTGAATCGTGGGTGCTTGGGGACATTCTTGCTGTTTATCCCATATTTGCTAGCCCACACTGATAAGTCTTCAATTAGAATATGACGTCCAATGTATATGAACCACCGTCTTGCATGGCAGCGAACAGTGACATCACCCACATGACTCTGACTTATATATACTGCTAATGAATATGGTGCATTTCTTTGTGTACGAACCTCTGTCCTGCATGGCAGTGAACAGTGACATTACCCACATGACTCTGGCCTATATAAACTGTCAATGAATATGATGTATTTTTTTGTGTACGAACCTGTCCAGCATGACAGTGAACAGTGACATCACCCACATGAATTTGATCTATGTATATATGTGTAGGTATGTGTATGTGTATATGTATGCATATATATATATATATATATATATATATATATATATATATATATATATATATATATATATATATATATATATATATATATATATATATATATATATATATATATACTGTTAATGAATATGATGTATTTTTGTGTATGAACCTCTGTCCTGCGTGGCAGTGAGAAGTGATACCACCCTCAGTGTCAAAACCTGACTAAATTACTCAGAATAGGTAAACTGTACTCCGAGCTTTGTCAATAAATTTGTTGTCATAAGACGAATAATGGTAAATAGTAAGACGTTGCCAGCACCTACTTATATATTGAGTCTTACATAGGGAAAAGATAAACCTTTAGATATGAAAATTCCAGTTCAGAATAGGTTAGGATTAGGTTAGGTTAGGTTAGGTTACTTTAGGTTAGGTTAACATTTCGAGGTAGAACATTAAAATTTAGAAGTTGTATTTTTTTTCTATTCATTTCTCAAAAAAACAAAATATTAAATAAAATTTGTTGAATCAACATAAAAGTCTACATTAAAAAATTATATTTCAATTTTTGAGTGCTGCACATGAAACTAAAAAGATCCGAGTTTCCATCGGAAATATAAAATTTTCGAATATTTTAACTGATAAAATTACACACAGTACTAGCCCTTTAAACTTTTCATATTCTACGTCGAAATGTTACCTAGCTTAACCTAATCTAACTCATTTAATTCAGCTGGAACAGTTGAGGAGAGAGATAGACGTTTTAAAGGGGGAGAACGCAGCCTTAAGGACTTAACTCCTTCAAGTAGGTGTCCTGCCTAGCAGGACCCCTGCGAAGGAGGGTCGGGAGGAGAAGGGGTGGAGAGTGGTTGTCTCCAAGGGGACTAGGGTCAGACTCAGGAAAGCTGACCAGGGTGTGGAGTGCAGTAACCCCTACCAAGTGTTGGAGGAAGCTGGCGAGGAAGAGAAGAGGCAGGACGGTGTGGTGCCAGGAGAGAAAAGGGCAATTGTTCAAACCCTGCCCAGTGGTAAGGTCGTGGGAGTTGGGGACAGCCAAGTGAGGTTCTTAGATACAACTTTTTGTGCAAGAGATAGGAAACGTAGGACTAGGGTGTGTTTTCCTGGGGCTGGAATAGGGTATGTAGCTGAGTGGATAGATAGGGTTTTGTCAGGGGAGGGTACCAAGCCAGTAGTGTGTCTTAGTGTGGGAGGAAACGACATGGGAAAGGTTAGGAGTGAGGAACTTTTCAAGAGGTATAGGTAGGCGCTAGGGAAGGTTAGAGAAAGGGGAGGGATCCCAATAGTATGTGGTGTCTTGCCTAAAAGAGGAGTTGGCGGTGAATGGCTGTTCAGGGCTATTGCTATAAATTGCCGACTGGAAAAACATTGTGCAAGCAATGGTTGGGCGTTCATTGATAACTGGCAACTATTCTATGGCAACGACTACTTGTACAGTCGTGACGGAGTACACTAGTCTTGCGAGGGGGTAAAGATATTGTCTGTATCCCTGGAGCATGAAATTGTCACTCCAAAGGGGGGTTTCGCCAGAGGAGAGAGGTGAGGGTAAGTGGGAGTAGAAAAACAAGCAGGTCCTGGGGAGTAAAATTGATTACTCAGGACAAGGGGTAAAACAGGAGCAGGGAAGGGTAGGTTTAAATGTATACTATACAAACAGTAGGAGCGTTAGAAATAAAATAGACTTGCTGAGAGAGGTTGTATGTACCGAGAATGTAGACGTCATAGCAATCACCGAAACTTGGATGAATCTGGCGAGCAAGAACTTTTTAGCAGAGTACCACATAGAAGGGTACAACCTTTTTCACAAGGACAGGGAAGGTAGGAAGGGGGGGGGGTCGCACTCTTCGTCAGGGATACATTAAAATGTATTAATAATTCAATAAAGGGTGAAATAGGAACCGAGTTTGTATGGGTAGAAATTGCGGAAGGAAGAGAAAAACTAATTATGAGAGTGATTTACAGGCCCCCCCAAGTCTTGGGAAAGAAGCAGCTCAGCCCATATGGCAGGAAATGAGTAGGGCTGCAAAATACAACAACCTGTGCATTATGGGAGATTTCAACTTCAGAAATATTGACTGGGACAACATTATAGGTGACTATGAATCTGAAGACTTCCTACATGCAGTACAGGACAATTTTTAAAAAAACTAATTACAGAACCTACTAGAGGTGACAATATATTATATAACCTTTGGGTAGAGTTTCCTTAACTCTGCTTATATATAAATAAGTTGAGGGGTTAAGTTACAAACCCAAAATGGTGTTTTCTCCATTTATTGGTAAAACTATATTGGTCACAGTCTATTAGTAGATGAGCCGTAATTAACACTGTAAGCTGTGAATGTTAATTAAGGACGGGGCTCAGCTTGACTGAGTTAGGTCACCCGACCGATTCTCGTGAGACTCAAATCAAGACTGGTGCCTGTGAGGGTTGGCTCTGAAGGAGAGGCTGCGCTAACTCTACATTCTCAAGGTCGGCTTGCTGATAGAGGAATCTCCCCTCATATGAACAGCACATGGCACCACACAGCTTATGGAAAACTACAGTAGAGTGATTGGATTATATGAACTAAATGTATTAACCCAAATTTATATAATTGTTATTACCATGAGACAGAGGCTAATACATCGCTCGGTCACTACCTTCCAGGCTTCTACGAGGAATTAGCTTCTCGCAGAGAAAAAATATATACATAAACCTATTGAAGTTACATACATATGTGTGAAAACATTAAACTGAAGCAACTGCAACCTGGGGTTCAGCAGTTACGAGGGTCCTACTCTTAAGTGCCTTACAGAAGAGTATATTATGTACAATGGTAAATTAAAATGATAGTGTTCTCTAGGAGCAAAACAAAAATATTACTGGAGAGTATTATTGTGTACAATAGTAAATTTAAATGATATTGATCTCTAGGAGCAAAACAAAATATTACTGCCAATATTACACAATAGAAGGAATAGTTAAACTGGGTTTAACAAATCCTGTGAAAAATAAAATAAAATAGCAGTTTATCTTCTATATTAGTAAAATGTGACTCTTTCAGATAAGAAATAAATTTTAAGTTATCTAACATAAGATTGAGTTCACTAAGAGTCAAAATAGAAACTTGGTACAATGGAATCAAATCCAAAGTGAGATTTAAATTCAATGCAAAATGATGATGAGAAGGCAAGGTTTTGAACGAACCACAGGTTATCGCACAGTAATCCGGAGCCTTACAATAACCTTTCACAGCTAACCGGTTTCCACTATCTTGGCATTGTAAAGTGACATTGGTTTCTTCAAGGAAGAGAGAGAGAGAGAAAAAAAGTATACT